CACTTAGATTTGTTGATTATTAAACTTACTTTATCATACATAAAAATAGGTCAATTGACACTTATACGTTTATCTATATACTTTAATTGTATGTGAACAGAATTTTATTTTATAAACAGATATGTTTTAAAGTGAGGTAGAAAAATGTTATTTCATATATCTGTAATGAATCAGAATGTTTCAAACCGCTTCTTCAAATTGTCTACAATTCCTATCGTATGCCATGCTATCTATATCCAAACATGTCATTAGTGCTCTTTTTTATTGTCCAAAAATTGGCAAGTGAGCGGTGGTTCACTTGATGTTAAGTGATTACCGCGTCTCGTGGAAAACTATAACATAAGAGGAGTCCAGCCATAGCATCTAACTCACCAGACCAAACGCGAAAGTATTATTACTTCCACTTTACACGGGTCTTTTGTGAGACCGCGTTGCTTCCTCGGAGAATCCTGGCCATTGTTGCAGAAGTTGGTGCGTGGCGCTACCAAAGGAATGTTAATAATTTAGTGGTTGTAAGCATACTAGTTGCTCGGTACCATGAGAAAAGAGCCAAACGCCCCAAACCTAGACTAATACTTTCTAAAAACAAAAAAAAAATGTAGCTTAAAAAGTTAAATCGGAACTTAGATTGACTGGTAATTATTGCACATCAAAAAAGACCAAGCTTTGTGGAACCGTTGTCGAAATTTCCAAATATTCGTCTTTTCCGTATGGCACTTGTAATTACTGTACGCCACAATAAGCAAAGTGGCATACCGATTGCGGGGCTCGATAGATTCGGGCACCAGTAATTTAGACCGAGACTGGACTGATTAAATCCATGGCAATAGATAGGTTCAATAGTATGTACGTGGTAGGAACATTGAAAAAGGTAATGATTTTTTTATTTCTATTAATGGTAATGACTATTCTTTCTTTTTATAGTACACCCAATTACCGCGCTAACCTGTGTGTTCAACCTTTTCGAAGTTTGTGACACTGTATAGCCAAAAACGGTCTAAAAAAAGCTTAGAGCATTCTCCTACGTTTAGGCGATTATAGAAAAGTAAAACCTTGTGTGATACCCGTGTGTCCAAACCCATTTTCATCATCAGGAAATGCAACGTGAAAGGGCGTTTCTTTTGCTCTTTGTTCTTCAACAAGCATGGCCATACAAAACGTCGAGTCTACTGGCACGAAGCCATACGTATTCTTTGTATATTGATCATTGGTCCCTGAGAGCCGTGATAGCTCAGTGTCCGGGCGCTCGCCTTTAATTCGATAGACTCGAGCAACCTGAGTTCGATCCCCGGTGCCGGCACCAATGAAATTTTTTATTTCAAGTGCTGAATTATCACGTGCTCAGCGGTGAAGGAAGACATCGTGAGGAAACCTGCACATTTTCGAAATAATAATAGAAAAAAACTTCAAAGATATGTGAAGTCCGCCAATCCACAGCGGGGCCGCGTGGTGGACTATGCCCTGATACCCTCTGTGCAGAGGAGGCCTTCGTCCAGCAGTGGGACATGTATAGGCTGATACTTTAGTTTACATTGATCCCTTAACGTTACGTGAATCTATAAACAATAGGTAAAAGACAGATTATAAATCTACTAAGACAATGGATACAAGTATAATTGTGGTAGTTTTTCATTTATTAAATAGATTTTTTTATGGAAGCAGGTGGCAAGCAAGCTGGTGGATCACCTGTTGTTAAGTGATAACCGCCGCCCATGGACATTTGCAACACCCGTAGGCTTGCATATGTTCTGCCACCTTGAATACAGTGAGTCCCGGTTATCTCACTCACCAGACGAAATACAGAAGTATAACACTTCTACTTCACGCCAGTCTTCTGTTAGGCCGTACTTCCCCGGACGGACTTGAACATTCGTACAACAATGAGTGAATGTGAATAAGATGAAAGAGGACTGTTAAGGGTATCACAGATCCAAAGCCGTGGGTTCTGGCTAGCCCACCGGTTCTGCGACAGATGAAGCTTTAATAGTCTCGGGACTGAAAGCACAAACATCATTTAATACAAGAAACAAGGGTTACCACAGTTATATTGCATTATTTAAATAACCCTTAGAGAAATATAAAATTTTGTTTAAGCAAATTTTTATCGCAACCGAGCTGAGATCCCAGTATGTTCTCTTGCTTAGTAGTAAAGAAAAGAGAGCATCAAGGTAAAAGAATGACTAAATCTTGACAGAAAAGAAAAGATTACAGAGAAAGCTTTATGTTTTACGCCCTCTCCCAATAAGATGAAAGAGAATAAAAAGATTGAAAGTTATTTACTTTTATGTGTATTGTTATAGGGTTTATAGATAAAATCAGGGCAAGGAATTTAAAGATCTCAATGATATATGTACTGTGCAGAAATTGGGTAGATTTTCAGATTGCGTAAGAACCGTTATATATTTGAACGGTTTTATCGATATATCGGGAATATCATTTACTTCATGTCATTGTTTAATTTATTTTGTTTTTTACCATCCTCCTGCCCCTATTCTAACATAAGTTGGGTTGGTTAAACATATTAAACATATTGTTAGTGGTATTGGCTATGTTTTTTTCTGTCTTTAGGAACGAAGTCCTAGATCCAGAACAATCTGTGGGTTGCACATAAAACCGAAACGATTAGCAACTGCGTCAACTTTACATCGTTTATGGCCTTGTGACCCCGTACTCTATAAAGTTATCGAAATTACTGTAATTTAAAACATGAAAAACACTAACAAATCCGTGAGTTTTATTTTATCGTGTGTATTATTCGCGTTAAAACAATGAATCGATAGAATATTATAATCACACATTATTATTAGGTCAAATAATTTGTGATAACAATGATTCATTTTTGACAGATTTAGATAATCTAATATATAAAATTCTCGTGTCACGTTGTTTGTAATTGAACTCCTCCGAAACGGCTCGACCGATTTTCGTGCAATTTTGTGTGTATATCGGCCAGGGTAGAGAATCGGACAACCTCTATTTTTCCTCCCCCTAAATGTTAAGGGTGGTTATAAAATTAAAGCTCTTATATTTTTAAGCTTGCAGAGTAATCCAATACAGAATTATGCCAGTTGTTAAAAGGCAATAGATTTTAGTATAATTTTATTCCTTGCACATCGCCGCCACTGACCCTTATTTGTAAATCTATTGGGTCCCATCTTTTCAACTGACACGTCAGCAGCTCTGAAAGGATATTTGCCCGTTTCCGGTACTACGACTTGCTAATCAAGGAATAAATAAAATCTATAAAGATGTGGTATTTTCTTAATTATAGTAATATCATGTATATAAAATAATAAGGAATCTAAAAACATGGTATTAGTTTACAAACTTCAATTTCTTTGTGCAGGTTTTATCTATATAATAAATAATAAGAGGGCAGACTGGGCAGATGCAAAGCGAAATGGGACCAGAAAAAGCTTCCGTTACGAGTTATTTTCTTACTGACAATTTTTTAAATGTATTACTACGACCGAGCGAATAATATAATGAACATCCCATATTTTAAATTGCGTCCAGTTTATTTATAAATTAAGTACACGAAGAAGTGCGTCTATATCGACTCAATATGTTACAAGACTTTATCTTAATAGTCTTTTATCATCATTAATACGACCACCTTGCTTCACCAGTGTATATTGCTCTCAGACCTTTCTGAAGACAAGCCGCATACTTTGGTCGAACGGCGGCCTCTGATTGCCACCAGCAGACTAGTGTGTTAATAGTTTTCAGTTTTTCTAAACTGTTAAAATTAACTTAAAGGATTGTCCATGTAACTTTACCAAACCACAAAACTAAACAAAATAAAAACATAATGCCATTTATCTTGTGGAACCGTACGACTATAACCCGTGTTAGTTTTCCGCATAGTTATCATGTCTGTCATAACAAGTAAAGCAACAGACAAACAACCTACACGTTTATAAGCTGTTGGACTAATATAAGACTCGAATTATTATTTGTTTTGTATTTCAAATTTTACAGGAAATATGTAATTTACTTACACAATATACACATGTATACACGATTACCTTAAATCAATTCTTCCATTTCTATTCAATATAACAAAACAGCAATGTTGTGATTTTACCAGTTTTAAATGATTTAATTTACTTATGTGTATTTATTTAATTATGTGTAAATTATTACACGATTTGCCTTGAAGAACAGTCTAATTCCTTAAATCTTCAAAACAGATTCACCCAAGCATATCATTCGTACAGTTCGTCTCAATAACAATTATTTTTAACGATTTTTTTAATTACAAAAGCAATTTTTATATAAATAAAAGTAAACATAAGTTGCGCATAATCACACAAAAATAACAATTAATATAATAATAATTAAATAACATATATTATTTTAATAAATATAGCAGTATATTCTATATGTGATGGTCGTATACGGACACTGAGTATATTTTTCGTATTAGTGTAGCGTATGGTCATCAAAGCTCTCCTTATCTTCGGACATATCAGGGCAACAAGTAGCAAAATCATTTGTAACGATCGTTTTAATAACAATTCGCATTCAATTATTTGTTAAATTCCCGAAAGGCAATCACATTATTTAACATGAGGTAGATCTACGTGTCATTTAAATAAATACAGCACAAATTATTCTATATATGATGGTCGAATATGGAAGACGGCTGTATTTTCCGTAGAAGTGTGGTTACGCGGGCTTTCATTGTTCTTAGGCCTACCAGGGAGACATGGGCGGCGGAGGCTGCGCTGCGACAGTTCGTCATCAGTGCCTCGGCCACCGCGCCAGCCGCACGACTCTATCACGAAGGCGCCTCGGACGAATCACCCGCGCCGCTAGACATATTTTACGAACGTTATAAATTTTTTTATCGCCTCAAATCGTTCACTCCGCACCTTGCGGAGAATCAGACGTTTGTTATGAAATTTATTGGTTGCCGTAAAAAGTTCACATTCCCCAATAAATTTTTGTAATGATGATTGGAGCTGAGTGAAGTGAAAAAAATGCTTGTACCGGAAATGCTTCGCTGTACTGTTTGGATAACTTTGTTGCTTTATTTAAAAGGTGAGAATTAAAGTGAATAAAACAAGTAATTTATAAACATGTCACACTTTAAAATTGTCGGTATTAGTAAATAACGTACCGAAAAGACCGTAATTAATAAATCGGAATGAGCTCAAAGCATTTTGTAACTTAGGTTGCAGAGTTTGTTTTATGACGCTGCCTCAAAAATTAAACACTATTAATATTGGTTAAAAGAACTTGGTGTCGTTAAATAAAATTTAGGGGTTATTAATATTAGTGATAATTTACATACTTCTATATTTGTTTTGTGCAGTTTTTTATTTTATTTTTGACGAAAATTTTATCAGTTAGTGAATACTGATTTCATTGAATTGTTTCTACTTTTAAAATTTTAAATTAAATTATTCTTTTATTCTTATTTGATATATCGCATGAAAAGTTTACTCCTTTTTCATACATTTCTCAAGATTAAAAGTTTAGTTTTACAGTTAAAGTTGAAAGTCGTGAGCTGTTTCATAAAGATAATTAAAATAGGAATAAGGATGTAGAAAACTTCTCTAGCCAATTTCCAAAACTATAAATATTAAAATTGAAATATTAAATATAAATAAATAGCGTAGATAAAGCTACAGGCAAAGTTAAAGCGATGAAATGAAATGAATATGCTATTAAGCCTATATTTTGATTGATTATATTAAAAAAAACAATAATGTACTATTTCAATAAAATTATGAAGAAATTCAAGAAAATGTATGAAAAACGAAAGCTCAGTTGTACCTCACATAAGTTGGAGTACGGTAAGTGTAAAAATCCATAAAAAAGGCATAGAGTGGACTGTTGAAAATAGCATACTGGCGAACATGGCGATATTGAAGTTAGCGATGCCTTCTAATACGAATCTTCAAATATCAAAGCTATTATGTAGGTTGGTAAAATTGTTTGCATATTAAGTCGCGTTTAACAAACACTTCTTAGGCTTATATTAAGTTTTTGTTAAGATTTTCTGACATTATTTCGAAACTTTATTGCTCAAGGCGAATTTCCCGGTAGTAAATGACAAAGAAAGATGTTTTTCGAATATGTAAGAAGCTTTTCAAATTAATTTGTTGGAATTTCCTGATACTACACTGTTGATTAATATCTATAACTTTTCTGTATATAATTTAACACTAGGACTTTTTAAGTTAACAGTCATTTTCATATTTTTTTTTACCACTGACAATGTTACGATACTACGTGGAAAATTATATTTTTCAATTCAATTCAAATATCTTTATTCAATACAGAAGCATTATATTTACTAATTGATTGTCAAAATATTACTAGCGGCTCGGAAAAAAAAAAAAAAACTCAGTGACCTGAGAAGAACCGTTAAAAGAAATTCAGCGGGATAATTTTTTTTCCATTATTTGACAAGAGAACGTGTTGTGTTAAGGAATATATTTAAGTTCACTTGAAAGAGCCTGTAGCGATCAGTTGATTTCCAGTGTGTGTTATCATTAACAAAAAAACACTAATATTCTAATAAGCTTTAATACACAAACGTTTCTTAATATATTTTTTTTATTTCGTCGTTATATTCGTATTTTTTTTTATTCAATTTGAACGGTTTTTGGGATTTAGTTTAAAAACGTGTATAAAAATTTTAATGTTCCAGAATAAAATCCAAAAAAAATATTTATTTTAATTTCTAACTAAACATTGAAAATTATTTAAACCAAAATTTAAAGCTATCATTAAAATTCGAAGGTTTCTTGTGCCAAACAAAATTTAATAATTTTCGGTATACAATTAATTTTCAATAGATGTCTGTATAATTATCAGTATAATGTGTTTCAAATTGATAGCTAGATTAAAACGTGCTTTCGCTGGTGCACTAGTTATATGAATTTCATCATAAAATTCCGCAGGTCTTATACAGTTGAATATGTCTGTGGCTGCTTCATTGTTAATAATTACACTATTGACATAATTATTTTTTATATTGTTCATATAGAATGCATTTACCTAATTATTTTATTCTTTGAACACATACACTGGCGGTGAAATACAAATGTCAAAAACAGGCAACCAGGTCTTTTTACATTTATGTACATTTTGACCTTTTACATTATTATCAAATTAGGAATACGTTTTCATTACCTTGAAATCTGAATTGTAACTAAGATTTATTCTGCGTAAGACTCGCTGCGGTATGAATTTCATTCGATATTAATTACTTTTATAGATAAGTTCAGTTTTATAGATAAGTTGTTATACATAAGTTCAAATACGGTTAAATATTAGTGTTTACATTTACACATGAATAATTTAAAAAAAATCGTTACAAAAACCTAATTACAGCAATTTATTAAATGAGCAAGTTAATACATAACAATGGTTTCGTAAAGAATAATTATGTTTTTAGTCCTTTTGATTCACAAATTAACACCATATTGGTTAAATAGTTAATTTTTGAAGAGCTTAAATTAAACTTTGTTATAAAAGGACCAAAGCTGTAGTAAATGTTTAAATTAGGTAATTAATCTTATGTTCCACATATTATATAATTATTTAAAATTACAGGTGAAATTTGATTGCAAAATTAGTAAGCATCGCAAGATCCTAAAATGGACTACTATCTCTGGTAAAGAACATTAGCTCGAAAACAATGATTGCTTTGAATACTATACATTATTAAATCATATTACAGTGTTTGATGATGTTTCATGAGGCGTAAATTAAAGGTTACGAAAAAAATAGGCTCCATGATCTAAAAAACAATTTTCTCCTTCTTTTTAGGTATACGTGGGTGTGACGAAGAATATAATTTGATTCGGCATTTGATGCAAAAATACGACGCTTCGGTGAGGCCAGTTGAGAACTCATCCCAACCACTAATGGTTACTTTCGGTGTCTCATTGCATCACATTATCGACGTGGTATGTATAATAAATAATTTTATACAATAACTTCGTACTTTAATATGTATATACAGTGGTGGTGGGGATGGTTTTCATAGTAAGAAAAAAATCGTATTGGGTTAAAAAACAATTCATTGTGCTGACTATTCAAGGATTACATCTGTAAAATATATAAACAAAAAATTATTTAATTATGAGGTGACTATAGTAAGAGCGAAACGCATATTAAGGGTAAATTTTTTAGGGGAAAGTTTTTCTCATCCTTCGATTACTATGGGGTAAAAACTGTTAGCATTCCTTTACACAAGGTACTAATTAGTTGTGGATATAGTATATTGGGGCTACTATATATGTAATTATATTATAGAATTACAGTCTAACATATCTACAATTTCATAGAATGTTGTATAAAATTCGTGAACGTAATGAGTCGATCACGCGATGTAAACGAATACATAGTCATAAACTAGCAGATTCGTTATTACAGTAAAAAAGGCTCTTAAGTTCTAAAAATTGCACGCTCATAAAAACAATTTACATTATGGACGAACTAAATTAGGCTTGTGTATACATTTCGAATCGCAATTATTAAACCCATAAGAGACATGTAACTGTCTTTTATAATCCCAAAAGAAAAATGATTTACATCTCCCCAAAATAATTAATTCCCAAAGGAATATATTGCATCGTGGATTTATTGCGGTGTCACGTGGCGACCAATTTGTGTGAGATTGTAACAAGGGATATTTCTTGTGTGTCAATTTTTGAGACACTGAAAAAATACCATACTGTTTTGCAGTAAATTTAATTCAGAAGATAATGTAATTTAGCGGATGGTTTTTTAATATTAATGCCTGTGATGGGGAATAATAACAAGGGTATTTCGGTTCGGTAAATTTTTAAGATATTGAAAAAATACCATATTGTTTTTCACTAAATTTTAATCAGAATATAACGATATTAAGAGGGTGTTTATTAAATATTAATGCGTCTAACATTATAACAAAGGATATTTCCTGTACGCCAATTTTTAAGACAGTGAAAAATACAATTTTGTGTACATTTCAATCAGAAGATAACGAAATTCAGAGGATGGTTATTAAACATTAATGCTATTAACTCTGTGATTGATCCAACGGATTAATTTGCGAAAACATTTCTCGCCCGTAATTTCTTCTCACATTAGTTTTTTTGTTATCAAACTGGACGACTAAGGTAATCCCAAAAAAAATATGAAAACAGGCTTTGCTTATTGATACAATAAGTAAATCCTTTTTTTCTTTTTATATTTATATCAGAATAACATTTCATTTTGTTTTTTTCCTAAATAATATTTCCTAAGTAATCCGTGTGGAAGCAACTTACTGTACGGATTCTTTAGTATTATTTATTTTAATCATCCATTTTGTATCAAATGTTATGGCGGCGGGAAACTCTTAACGAATCGTAATCGTACTTCAATTTTGTATTTCGATTAACTTCTCTAAAATGTTTATTTTCACGAATAAAACATAATAATGTTAATTTGCGTTGCCGTAAAAATATTATGGAGTTTTATAATTAGTTTCGAACATAAATATTTTGACATAATATTCGGCCGCTTGAAGTACGAAGCGGTAGCAAAAAAGGTTTTTATAATATTGTGTGTATAGGTTATGTAATCGAAATATAGAAATGACCAACCGCAATTACTGACATTATGAATAAAGTATTTCTGACGATAATTTCGTTGTGACAATCTGATTTTATTTGATTCATCAAATCAAATCCGTCAATACGAATCCATAAATGTGTTCGCGATGATTTCATCCCGTGGAATACAATAGAGATTTCTATTCAACACGTGCGTTCATGCGGGGCCCGATTTTCATATCAGATTCCACATATTTTCAATGCCCAATTAGGAATTTATAACTGTTAATTTTGTTTACATGTGTAGGTACCTCATTTTCCTGCTCCACAAAGCCATGTCATGTTTCATTCGAGTACTGTCAGTATTTTCTACAACGTTAACATAAAATAAACGTAAGCTTATAACGATGTACATATGTACTTACATGTTTGTATGTATGTAGCAATTCATTTTTATATTATCTATCGATTCCCCATCTGAAGTAGATACGATGAGAAACGAAAACATGATGATGTGAAGGACAAGCCATCTAAGATAATGGATTTATTCTTAGGTGCACGTGAACCCTTTGGAGTTACTGGATTTGTGCTTCACATTTGTAACCAGTATATAACTTATAGTTTGCGACCGTATTTTTAGGCATAAAGAGCATAAAAATGCTAAAGGCATAATAAATAATTTCATTTAAATAACTAATAGTAATAACAAGAAATTGTAAACGTACTTGCGTTTACAATGTAAGTGAAATTAAGCAAAAAGTGTGGATCTCAAGTGACTGTATTCCTTAATTAATTTACGTTGTCGTTTATAACAAAAACTATATACAATTTATCCATAAACGAGCGACCAATTGCTCTATCCACATGACAGTGTTATTCGTACAATCATGCAATCCCACTAATTATTATAGATAGATGTGAAAAGTAATAAACTCCTGACAAACACAACACAAGAGATAACAGATTTTTTCACGTAAGAAATATAAAAACTGGAAATTTAGAGTTGTACGCCACTTAAAAATGTCAACACCAACAACGCTACTTTTCCTTATTATAATTGAACTTATTAAAATATTTTCAAAGATATGTTTAATATATTATATTAGAAGCGAAAGCCTAACGAAATAAAGACAAACAGAGCATAGGTACCATCAACGACCACATTAACTACTATAAGATGTAGTTAAAGTTGTGATAAAAAGTTAATTATGATATTTTTTTTTATATCAACGTATAACTTTTCTATGTAGGCTGTTATGAAATCCTAAAATCCATAAATATCTCAACATGCTAGAAAAAGATACTCGTAGTGAACAATATAACAATGTTCAATTCAATTATTTCAATAATAATTAATCGGCATATGACAAAATATACTTTATTTTTTGTTATCGCATGAAGGATTTCCACTTTTGAATTTTAATCGGAGTTTTCCATCAGTCATTTCCTGAACAAAAGTTTTGTCCGCGATGATTAATGAGGAAATTTATGGAGTATTTTACTGGTGAAATGAGATAAGATGCTTTGGTATAATATTTTGGTGTAATTTTCCCTAGGAAGAAAAGGATCAACTTCTCACAACCAATTGTTGGATCACTCAGATTTGGACGGATTACCACCTAAGATGGAACACAAGCGAGTTCGATGGTATCAGCGTCATCCGAATACCATACGAACGCGTCTGGAGGCCAGATATAATTTTGTACAATAAGTAAGTCCCAAATATTTGCCGTGCGAGTAGTTTTTGATATGATTAATAATAAATACTTACAATAACTTAAGAACATTATCATTGTCGAAAATGATGGAAAATGTGAAAATGGTTAGTCTACATCTTAAATGTTCTACAACACATTTTCACACTATACACACATATACACTTTCTACGGTTCCTATATTTTTTATAATAATTACAAGAAATATATATATTGTTAAATTAAACTATACAATAGATTTTAATAAAAAAAATTGCTTCTCCCTTTCGACAGAAATTTCTAGTCAATAATTTCAGATACACTTTTGCAGTGCCGATCCTAACTACAAATCAGCTGTCATAAACACGAATGTCATAGTCAAACATACTGGCGAAGTGACTTGGCTTAGTCACGGTATTTACGTGTCAGTTTGCGACATCAACGTCGAACAGTTTCCTTTCGACATTCAGCTTTGTACTATGAAATGGGCTTCGTGGACTTACGATGGATTTCAGGTAATCAACGCACCTTCAGCTTGCACAGTATGGTATAACAGCAGGCAATATATAACCATGTGGCTTTAACTGTAAAGTTTAATTACAACTCGGCAACATAAACACTTCGGAAGTCTCAGACGCCTTATTTGTTTTAAATGAAATGCGTTAAAATAAGGAGTAAAATTATTTCTTACATAAATTATGCAGTCCCAAATATTACAAATAATTTGTGAAGTTTCGTGTAACTGTTGGGTTGTTTCATTTCCGCTTAGAGTTTTTGTTTGGATTCTATACCCATATTTATGTATAGAAAGGAGTTTATTCATTGAAGATGGTGAATGTCTTTGTTTCCGTCATTGGGTTTCAGTGGTTTTGTTTTCGGTGACCTATGAACCTTAAACTTTTTATATATTGCACAATTTTTGCCTTTTGAAATAGCTCATTTTCTACACTTCACATGAGTCAAGCACAATAACTTAAAAATAAGCATGATAGATAAGCCCTCAACATTTTTAAGTACACATTTCTGTTTTTTAACTCCACATGTCTGCGAATCGTATCAAACAAAAAGGTTTTCCTGCCATTTATTTTCCAGTATGTTGCATTTCTGTCAGCCGCTATATAGTTAAGCCGCTCAGAATATTTTCTCTCAGTGCAGACGATCTTCTATTGTCTTTTTATGCAAATTAGTTTTCGGATTAACCTTAACTTCTACATTATCGCATGCTAAATATTTTTATTCAGTTAAGTGAATGAAAAATAGAAAATGATTATCATTTATTATTGTTTTACTTCTATTATTCTATTTGTAAAGTAATTTAGGTTAATATAGCGATATTGGTTTCAAGAATTTTCCCCTCTGGTAAAATTTTGCCAAATGGTGTTAATTTTCCGAAGTTTCCGTCATAATTGTGAGTCAATAATTTTTAGCTGGATTTAATAAAGCAGTTTGACGAAGGCGACACGACAAATTATCAAACTAACGGTGAATTCGATTTGGTGAGCTTCGAAGCTATTCGACATAATCAATATTATTCTTGCTGCGTGGAGCCTTATCCCGATATAACCTACGTTATTAAGTTGCGTCGGAGGCCTATGTTTTATGTGTTCAACCTCATATTGCCGTGTCTACTTATAAATGGGATTGGTAAGTATTGTTATTAATTGTTCAAATTGAGATAGACTTATGATTCAGAAATTCGCAAGTAGTCTTTTTTTAAATGTTATCTTTCTCCCTATCTGCAAAAATATTTTTGGTGAGCCTGTTCGCCATCTGTCAGCATGGCCTATTTCAGTGCTCATCGCGGATAATTCGTCTGGGACGTCTGAAATATATTTGCTGATGTTTAATTTAATTTAAAAAATATAGAAAGCGGGTTTTTGTTTCATCTTTACATTTCTATCACTTTAATGGTTTTTTTTTTCATTTGTCGTAGCACTTTTAGTATTCTATGTGCCCTCTGAATCTGGAGAGAAAGTGACCTTGGGCATAAGTGCTTTACTGTCAATGACAGTATTCTTGATGACCATTAGAGATACTTTACCACCGACGGAAAAGACACCTCTGATAAGTAAGCGTTTTTGAAGCTTTTCTTTTTGAATTTTAAATTCTCAATTTATTGAGCACTTCAATGCAAATATATAATAAGTTGAACATCATTTTTAATAGGATTTTTGTGATAAATAATATTTAAGAGTCTACATTAAACGAAAAAAAATGATTAAAGATTCACGTTGTATTTGCACTTAATTTTGATGGAATGTATTGTAAAAATCTAAGGTAGTTAGTTCTTTTTCAATACTATAAAAGGTATGAAAAAACTTAAACGAACGGACCTGCCCACTCATGCAACAGCGAAGACTGTTTGCGTAGCCCTACAACGTTTAAAATTATCTTTTCTCGATTTAATATTTCTGTAGCTTTAGAAAAGTGTAGCGTTTAAGGCAATTAGCTGTAATCGGTTATAAGTAATGTCATTTAACTAACCAATGACTTTTCTTTCAGGTCTATATTATGGAGTCAGTACGTGTCTTGTTTCATTTTCCGCTTCACTGTCAGTGGTAACTCTAAATATATCTTACAGGCGAGTTCATTTTTAACGTTCCTCAAAACAATAGTGTTTCTGAATTAATTAATAACATTGACTAACGATTATTACTGAAATTATTAAATTGAACAGTATTGAAGTTTTAAAACTTTAATGTTATGTGATATTTTTCAAAACTACGTCGAGTTTACTAACCACTACCTTTGAAAATCATATAATCTTGTGTCATATAATAATCTTTACTGCAATCTACAAAATCCTACGAAATATAAGATTTCGTAAGATTATAGAGAGGGGATATTTATTAATAGTTTATAACTTAGCTAAAATTGCGAAAAACTGCGGTGTTGTTCGTAGAGGAGTGAGAGGGCAGCCTGTGCCGGCGGTGCTACGCGAACTAGTGCTACAGCGTCTCGCACGCATGCTCTTCATAAACTTTGACACGGATGCAAAGGTTCAGTATAAATATCATAGCTATTCTGTACGCTACCGGTACACGCGTACAGATAAATATAATTTATGTCGGCTGTTTCGAAATTCTTAAAAAATATTCTACTTTTTATTAAGTTATAGTATATTTATTAAATTAAAATATGATGATAGGGTTAAAAGTGTAACAATGGTTGGATGTAATGAATGAAACTAGCTATCATTCTTTTAATTTTTATCTCTCCGTTTTATCAAAAAAAATCGATTTTGCTAAACGATCAAACTTAAATGAAGAGGGTTAGTAGACAAAAGTATAGTCGCTACCAAGATCAGTGAAGTGGAAAGAAGAAGAAAGAAGAACTTACGTGACAAACAGATTCTTCTCTATTTATTAGAGTGATAACTCTGCGGTCTCATCGGGTGGCGTACAAGTTAATCCGCGTACCGGCTCGCGGCTTAAGTCTGAGACGGGATGCGATGGCAATCCCGCGATTCCCGTTTCACCACGGTTCAATCGACCGAGTCACAACCATCTTAGTATGTATAACTATATTCTCTATTATATTTTTCTAAATAAACTGTCTTGCTCGGAGCAAACTTGGTATCATAAAACTATTACACAGTTTGTATCGTCAAACGTAAAAGCTCGAATGTGAAAACATAAAATAGTTTTAGGGTTAAATGTGTAGTGTGTGATTATCGAGTGGTGACGATATTAATCACTAACCTTAGCGGCTAGAGTGTTTGGGGTTTCCGTTTGCGCGTAATACGGAAGGCTCAGTTTTAGTCCAATTTAAATAATTCGACAATTTATATACACATTTATTTATTTATTTATGTGCAGAGACTAGCACTAAAAATAAAAGATTTATAGCGTTTTAAGCTTAGTATGTGAAACTGAAAAATGAAATATAACTTTACTAGCTCTTTAATTCAATAACTTGACTCAAATGGGATGGCCATTTGATACTACGGAAAGAATAAAATACAAAGTTAAGCAGTCTTATGTGGTACACCGCCCGTTCAGTAAGACCGATTCACTCATGCCATGACGACAGTCAGGTGATATTCGAAATCTGTCACTGCTCGCAATATGTTCCACTCCTTTTACGTACCATAGAAGGGCCAAACCTCTTCGTTCGAAGGCTGTCAATGAGGACATTGATGGAGGCCTGCCGTTTTAGTATTTTACTTCCATTTCAACGCCCTATCTCTAAAATGTTTTCTTTCTTTTACTTTAAATTGTGGCGTGTGCACACGTTAAACTCGAAGAAGTGGAGCGACCGCATTGCAAGGGTCGCACTGGGCCGAGCGCGAACCCACCACCGAGCCCACCGGTGGGCGAAGTGGTGGGCGTGGGGGCGTGCCCGCGGTGCGTGTGCTGCGGCTGCACACTCCGCGAGGCGGCCGCTCGCCACGAGCAGCGTGTCGCTGCCAGCGAGCGCCTCGAGCGCGCCAATCTCGAGTGGAAACAGGTACGATGACAAAACACTCTGAGTTTCGCGAGGTCTATTAAAACATCAACTCTACATCAAGTCGGTAAGTTTATTATCTATTTTATCTTCTTAAGGTTCCTCTCATACTACCTTACACAGCAATGTTTCCCATCGTCAGAACATACGGAACTCTACCATAATCAAAATCACTTGCATATATTACTCTTATATATATATACATATATAAATATATATATATATATATATATATATATATATATATATATATATATAAATATATATAGAACTACCTGCTGCCCGCGACTACGTCTGCGTAGAGGGGTGAAAATTAAAAAATAGAAACAAAAAGCTTCATATAAAAAATAAAAAAAAATTTAGGGGTGGACTACCCCCTTAACATTTAGGGGGACGAAAAATAATAAGTAGCCGATTCTCAGATCTACTGAATACGCATATAAAATTTGGTAAAAATCGGTCGAGCCGTTTAATATTTGAAAGACAAGTACTTTGTGCAACGACTTAGCTCCGATAAAATTTAACAGAATTTTCTTATTTGTGTAGGTTATTCAACATTTTCCTGCTGTTCCTAACGTACAGCTTTCTTTATAAAGTGTGAAATTTGAATTATTTACAGTAAGTCTTCTTTTAAAGTTTGTCTTTTCTATGTTTTACATATATGATTGCAGGTGAAATTTAGCTCTTCACATGAGAATGATGTTTTCCTTTTATTTTATTTATAGTTTATTACAATAAAGGTTAAGTTTTAAACCAAAAACCTGAGCAAAACATTGATTAAATTGAAAGCGTGAAACTGAATTTCGCAAAAAGAAAAAAGAAACAGACTACCTGTACGAAGCCGTAGCATGAAAATTACATAGTACACAGCATTATTTCTTATAATGTTAAGTGAAATAATCGCTAGCAACTTCGTTTCTGTCGTAATGTTTATCCGGTAATTATCTTAAATCCCGTCTTACCGAGCACTTAGAAGCTAAGGAATATACGTGCCGGATGTCAAGTTTGTGGGTTTACAATTCCGAAAATATCGGTTTAAGTGAGTTATACACACACCAGTAGCGGGAAAGAAAATAGGCATATTCATAAATGTTTCCCGGCGGGAATTGGTTCTGGATTTATAATATGTATAAAACTACTTATTTCTAAATTATTCAATGACTTCTTTCTAGTCTTCTTATAATACAATTATATATTATGCATAAAGAATATTTATCGTATTATGTTTGTAAGCTTTAACAAATTAAATTTTACATACAAATGATATCAACTTATATATAAATTATATTACAAATTATGTAGGACTAAAATTTATTGTATAAAACATAGTTTTTTCCTCGTTAAATTAACTTTATTCTTATTTTGACACTTCTGCTTATTCAATTTTAATTTGTTTCACAAAGGATATCTACTTTTTATAATTCAAATGTATTCATTTTACACGCGCTTAGTATCTGAAATAAGCACCTGAACACGTCGCGAACCTATTTATTTTTTCAACGCCCCAAGTCCCGGGCAACAGACAAAATGAAAATAGAAAAGAAAAGCTCGACAAATTTTAATTACAAGTTTTGACAGCTGGTCTGATGATATTTTATATGTAATTTTTTTTTACTCTGTAGGTCGCCGTTGTCGCCGATCGAGCATTGCTCGCTGTTTTCGTGTTAGTCACAACCATATCGACGGCTGCCATCTTGTTGCCACAGCTGCAGAATTTACACGTTGGAAATACCCCACTTAAGCCACCAACTTAGAAAATTGGAATCATTGAATGCTTGCTGAAACGTTCTAGTCAACAAAGTTTCGTCGGATTAAATATTCATAAGATTTTTTTGAACTCATCAAAGCTTCAGTTTTCGATATTTAAATTGATTTAATTTGAGTTTTAGTTTTTTAAAGTTCTAATCAGTTTGGTAATTTCGATTTGTTTCTGTTTTTTCTTATTAATCTAATCTAATTTATTTTATATAAGACTTTGTGTATGTTCTTCACATTGAGTTCTTGAATTTAACTTATTTATTATGTAAAAGTGGGCAGTGAGTTAACAATGTATCGTGTAAAATATAAAAATAAGTCGCAGTTATGTTTATCAATCGTTTTTTTTTCTTGTATAATGTTAAATTTTTAGTTCTAACTAAAAAAAGACATTAAATTATTTGTATATTGTTATGAACTAGTGGTTGCGGGATTAGATTGAAACGTTGGTTTACAAATCTCCAATTATTTCATTAATGAAAACGAATGCGCTTGTCACTGGAAAAGTACTAATATTACTCCTCTACAGTTGCTACGCGACGGCCCAGTCGTTGTCGCTCGAATCCTCCGCGTAAACTTCTATGCCTCTTCTCACTTGCACTACACTTTTGACTATGCTGTTCCTTTCCCTTTCTCTTTTCCTCTTCTTATTCCTTTCGTTTTCAGTTTCATCAATGAACTACCCGTCTAGCGCGCTCTGGTTCCGTTTTATAGGTAAAATTTCAATCGTCTTTTCTTCTAAAATGTTCTAGAAGTGGCTCTGAATTTTGACCGTCTCTTTAAACAGAAATATACAGAATAAGAACCTTCTTTTATTCTATACTAATAATTTAAAACTAAATTAAAGACATTCTAAACTGTCAAGACAGAACGTTGACAATTAATACGTCAACCCAGTAATCGTAATAATTATCTTATAACATCTTTCCACATGTAATAATATTTAATTACAGTAAGACCATAATTGTGTAAACATTGCCCTTACTTTAGAATTACATTACCCAGACGCGAAACACTATCTGTTGCACAAATTTTTCAAAGTTGTCCAGCACGGGAATCGAAGCCACGACGCCCGACGCTAAAGCCAATAGTCAACGTTCGCAACCGTGCCGAGTCATCAATTTGATTAATAATAGAAGAAAATAGAAGACATGTTCAATATTAATATGTTAAGTATATAAACACGATGTTTTTATAATTAGATGAAATATTTCTATACTGCGCGGCGTTCAATAATTGTTCAGCTTTACAATAAACGACATATACAAGTGAATGTGACAGATAATATAGAACGTATGTATGATACGGAAAGAGAACACTCCAGAATTGTAATCTAATTACACCAATAGATGTAATTTGTGTACCTCAGTTGCGGTGCGCTAGTCATATCTACCTAGTATTTGTAATACATTGATATTAAAACATGCTCACATTCGCTTAGATTAATTTGTGTACAATTACATATGGATTTATATATTTTTGATTATTATTTTGTGTGCATAATGATTGATATCATTGTGTCGAAATAAACTTGTGTCAAATTCAAAATTTATCACGATATTATATCATAGCTTTACATATAAAAATATTTTTATGATTTTTTTTAAGTAGTTGACAATACTTTATATTAATAAGTCATTAGAGTAGTTAATGTTTAAATTTGCGTATTTTAGATGAACTGTAGATAAGTAAAATAAATAAGTCAATTAATCTTGAGTTATTGCCAAAAGCATAAGCCTGTTTTTTCTTCAATACCCTTAATTATCGTTACTCTAAGAATGATGTAAATTTATTGTAATTTCTTTTAATAAATACTACATTAAACGTTTTATATAATAATGTTATGTTTATATTCAGGTAGGTACTGTAGTACAAACCTGCTCAAAATTATTTCCTACTATTAATGTAACATATAAGTGAGTGCAAGGCGATATATAATTTGTTCTGCAAATATCAAATGTACAAAGTAATAAAAGAATTCATGTTAAATGTGTTTCATTTTTATACATTATTTAAATCAAATCAAACCAAGACTAGTTAGCTACGAGAACTATTTTTCCCACGAGGTATAAAATTAAACAAAGATAACTATAATTTCAAAATAAATTAATGGAATAACATCAAGAAAAATAAAATTTATGGATATGACCCATAAATCTCCGTATTTTTAAGATTAATAGAATTCAAATTTTTTATAATATCATTAGTATCTATGCGATTGAATTTAAACGCGTGTCGACAATGGGTAACATTTCCTTTTAATACATAAATTGCATCTGCGGGAGACAATTTTCACATGCATGTGGCATTAACTGCAATTTCCGAAAAATAGCTTTTTTTCTACTAGCAATTTCGTTGTCTGAAGTTATGGGAGTATTACCTATCACTATCTTTTTAGGTTTCCTGGATATCTTGGGCCTTCCAGATATACTGGTAATGATGTCCCATGTGTCTTTTATTTTATTGCTTGAATTTAAAATTCTATTTGTTATATAAATAGATTTTGCATGAATAAAGAATTTTTTAAATATTTTTGAAAGCCTTTGTGTTAGGGTCGTGATTCCACTGTCTCATGTTATATAATTCATACAGTGAATCCCTACTTTTATATGTACCCACTGTTGCCCAGTCACTAAATTTTAATTTTGATTTTTTAACAATTGTGCGCGATTTAAATAAGATATGAGAAAGTCAACCATTGGTTTATAAGAATCATTCGGGTTATTGACTCCTATATCTTTATTTAAAATATGATGTACCACTTTATATCAAAGAATTTATTCTATAAGAAGTGACTGGTCTACACTTGATCTTGTGTTTGCTTGTATTAACTTTTTCATTTATTCAAAAATTTTAGACCATAGTGTTTAGAGCTCAGATAACTTATAACATATTTATCATATACATCATTGTGGCAGAATACGTTATCTATACATGTGGAGGATAAGTTAGTAACAGGAGTAGGTTCATAAAAGCGATTTGTAAGTTGAAATGGATTAAATAAGTTTATAAGAAATTTACTTACTTGTGTCACTTTTAATAAATCCACATTAGTCTACACAAACTCTGACTGATTTACTACTTGAACATAGGTATTAAGGACATCATCTATTACACACTCAAACAGATCGAAATCACCTGAGGGGGTTTGATACACGCATACTATAAATATACTGTTGACTCTCAACGCAGGATAATTCTATAGAACGTTCGACAGTGTGCTACTATACCCTGTCGATTTTCTCTCTCGATTCTCTGTCGTTCTTACTAACACACAAGAGAGCCACCGCAAATAGCATATGCTCTTACGAATGAATTTAACAATTTATCGTTCTCTATATCTATAATATTAAAATTCTTATGTAACCATGTCTCTGCGAAGCAGATGATATGAATGTTAAATCTTCTTAGGAATAGTTTCATGTTCCTTGTCACCTATATTTTGGTGTACAATATTTAATTTAAGTGGACTAGGTGTTGTCTCATGAGGAACAAAAAAAAAACTCAAAGCAGTCATGAGGACTGCCGACAGTAGAAAACTTAAAACTATAAACAATTGTTAGTTTTGGAAATTTAAACAAATGTTTGGTCTTAATTAAAACTTAATTTTGATATTTATTTGTACTTTGATCAACAATTATATTTTGTGTCATATGGTTTATTTATCATCAAGACACATGGGCTGCCCAATAATGTGTATGAATTCAACTTAATTAAAGTAATATAACCACTAATATCTGCATTCAATTTACTTAATTTTGTCTATCATTATCATTCACTTCAATAATATATAAATATTTTTTTTAATAAATAAATAAAAATCGTCGTTTTATATTCTGTAGTTACTAAGTTTTCGATCATTGTGCGATAGAAGTTTTCACTTCCAACAACATAATACGTAGTCTACACGAGTTTCATGTTATTATTATAACACTATTAGATCACTAATACTCAATAATCAGAAAATTAATGTTTAAGTGATTTTCACACTAAGTAAATTTAGTCTGAAAATCACTTTAAAGCTGCCATTTTTATGAAGGAATGAATTATTATGCCGTTATATATGAAACACATGCAGCATAATAACTTTAACGACCGTTTCCCTTTATTTGGTTTTAAGGTGGCTTTAAAAAACAACATTCTTAGAATGCAGTTGACAATAGCAGTTTGGGAGCAACAATAGAGATTTTATTACTCGATATTAAAACAAAGATTGAAATACACTTACTATAAAATTAAAACGCTGCTTGCACATTGCACGTAACGCAAAACACGTAAAATATTCAAGTCGTAAACAGCTGCCTAAGATATAAAAAAGCAAGAATATTTTATATTAAAGGAGGCTTTATGTTCTGCTTCAAGTTTAGTATGTTCAACTCTCTTAGCACACCGCCAAAGGCACTTCAAATAATTTTTCCTCTTCTTGTGAATTTTATTCCAACTTTTTAATAGATGCTACAGGAAAATGTCGGTTTGCCTCGCTGTAAGAAATAAAATTCATGTGTATAAATAACTGGAAACATTTGGTACTTCTTTTGTAATGCACTCAAAGTAACAATACTACACTTTTCTTCGAGGCTGCTTTGAAGTAAACGTCACATATTTTTTATAATTTGAACAGCGTATTTTATACAATTATATTCTAAACATCTTTTTTATGTAAGAAGGGGGCAAGCGAGTTGGCGGTTCGCCTGATGTTAAGTGATAGCCGCCGACCATTGACATTTGCAACGCCTTTATGGTTACAGATGCGATGCCACCTTTTAATAAAGTAGATCCCAACTATCTCACTCACCAGACGAAACGCAAAACTAAACACACACAAACTAAACTATAACACTTTCACTTCATGCCGGTCTTCAGTGATGTCGCTTTACTTACCAGGACAGACCTGCCCGTTCGTGCAACAGCCAACCGTGGCATTGTGGCCTTAATTGTATGAAGTGTATATATTTAAATATGTGTATATTTATATTATTTGTAAAGCTAATATAAT